TGAGGGGTGGGGGCTTGGACAGAGGCTGGGGCAGAAGCGCAGGCAGGGACTCGAGGACCACAGGCTGTGACCACGTGGTCCCATCTCACCTGATCCTTCTTGAGCGTGATCTGCCCGATCTCCCGGTTGCCCACAAAGGAGCGTGTCACCTTGTGCACCCGCTCCCCTGCCCGCACCCGGATGATGAAGTTTGGAGGGAAGTAGCCAATTTTTTCACCGATCTTCCCCTGAAAGAAGTCAGTAGATGGGTGTGAGGTGGGGTTGGAGTCAATCTGTATGACCCCCACAGATTTCCCCGTGACAAACAGCCTGCAGGTTGGGGGTTGGCAGGAGGACGGAGCAGATTTAGGAGGCTTCCAGCTGACCTTCCCTGTGGGAGAGGTTAAGCTCTGCCTCTTTCCCCTCTGTGCTTGTAGACACCAGCCTTACCCGCCACCACTCCTCGTTGGAGTCATCGACCACCGTGATCTTCTCCCCTGGCCTGCAAAGGGAAGGAAGGGCTCAGTGTGAGGGGAGGGCAGGGACCTCCCCCACCATGGGATACCCTGAAGTTGGCAAGGAAAATTGTTCTTCCCACAGCACCAGCTCCTAGAGCCCTGCATCAGGGGAGGTCAAGGAATGCACACAGCTCACGGGCCCAGGGACAGACAGGTCCTGGATGTGAGCAGCTCAGCCTCAAGCCTGGGGTGCAAGAAATCAGTGGAACCACATCAAGATAAACACCAGCAGCCTTGGAAATGGGGCTTGTTCTCAAAACCTGGGAGCTGGGAGAGTTGGCCCAGTGAGAGCCAGGGCCCCTGCTGGATGTGTAGCCCCATTGGGGCAGGCAGAAAAGCCACAAAACCCAAACCACAGCCAGCATAGCTCTAATTTCTGCCCTCATGCATCCATTCATAGACCCCTCGTGGCTGTGAGAGCCTCACTGTTGAGGTGAAGACTTTTCCCCCTCCCCACCGGACACCCCACGTCCTTCCCCTTATCACCCCCCCTGTGCCCATGACATGGCTGGGAACTCACGGGAAATCCAGGTCATCTTTCTCCAGGGCTTTGAAGCGATAAAGTGCCACAAAATAATGAGACTGCAGATAGCCACCACGAATCCCTGGCTGTGGCTTCTTGCTCTGGGGAAGGAGGAAAGAGCGATTCAGGGGCCCTGAGAGGCTGAGGAAGGCCCCGGGGAGCCCACCATGGAGGTCCCTGCAGCCTCTGCCCACACGGCTCCAAAGCTAGGGGCCTTTGGGGCACAGGGGGAGGTTGATGGCTACTTTGTCATCTGTTGGGCTTTTCTCAGTCTTCTTGTCCCCTTCAGAGGCGCCTGGAAACGATAGGAGGGGGGTTACGTCTCTCTCAGTGCTGTCTCCCTGCCCCAGGACCAGCTTCCTCCCAAGGATCTGTGCCCAGGTCAATGAAGGGAAGCAGAGAGAGCTCAAGGGTGGAGACCTGAACTGAAGACCTGCTTTCTGCTGGGCAAAACCCGCTCCAAGTGCAGTCTCCCCATCAGGCTCCCTCCGTGCCCCATGCTTGTGGCTGGAGATCAGCCCCCCCAGTTCCTTGGCCCTCAAGTGCAGCCAGCCCTGCTGCAGTCTCAGCACTCACCGCTCTCGGTTTTGCCTTTTTCTGGCTTTGTGGCCTCTGGTTCCTCATCCATCATAGCGGCCAAAGGCTGCAAAGTAGAAAGCTGTCAGGGCTTGCAGAGCAGGCAGGGAGGCGGGTGGCAGTGGGGTGTAGGCTGTGGTGCCAGGACCCTTGGGCATTTAGAGTGACAGCCCAACCCCGCACTCACATTTTTCTTGTCGTCCTGCCCTTTCTTGCGCTCCTTGTTGGCCATAATGACACCTGTCCGCAGGGTCTCGAACACGGGGTCGCTCCTGTTGGCTGCTGCTGAGGCACAGAGATGGTGAGAGCGTTTCAGCTACAGGATGTGAGGAGACTGGGCACCGTGGCGCGGGGACCGTACTTACGGAGCAGCTCCTTGACGCAGGCGTACTGCTGGTCACTGTAGAGGGGCGAGCTGTATGCCCGGCGGAACCCTGGGGGCTGAAAAGAAAGAGAAGGTCAGAGCATCGACCACCACCCAGACCCACGGGCCCTCTTGCGAGAGCTGAGCAGAGAGTGGGTGGTGCTGGGAACCCAGAGAGCGACAACCAGCAGGGGGGTGATGCCAGAGTGCCCCCTCAGAGCCAGGAAGAGAGGTGGGTCATGGCACTTGCGTCGTGCCCACAGGGAATGCTTTGGTCTTTCCTGCCAAGAGATGCCCCAAGCCCGGGGACAGTGGGAACACTCACGATTTTGCCGAAGCAGCGCTGCATCTCCACGTAGGACTGGCAGTGGTGGTGGATGTTGGTTTTGCAGTTCTTGCACCTCAGGCCAAACTTGTTGTTGACTGGGGGGGGCGGAGGGGTGGAAAGGAGAGGCAATGTGACACTGCAGCTGTGGGGACGGCCGGGCTGGAGCCCTCGCCAGCCTTGGCCCCCAGCCCCAGCACCCTCGGGACTCACGGACAATCATGCGGGCACAAACATCACAGAACTTGGGTTTTTTGAAGTAATGATCTTTGAACTTGTGGGGTTTGTCATTGACAAGTTTCTGGGGCTCAGGAGGGGGCTCAGG